ATCTCCCCCTTATAAACCTCAGTCAACCTAGTAAAGGTAATTGTGCAATACTAAACGTCTTTGTGTGCATTACCGCAGAACTCCACTGCTATGCCACTTCTATTAATATATATCGACATCCCTTTCTGTTTCTTTGATAAAATAGAGACTACAATATGTAATAATACAACTACAATTGCAGACGAAACCCACCGGTCCGTGTCATATATTATTCAGTAAACGTCAACGCTCGTCGACGTACACCGATCAACTTCACCCCTTTTACTAAAATCACACTAATTTTAAAGCAACAAACCGACATTTAACGGAATTTCAAACATATATTTAGTAATTATTAAGTAAACTATTCCTTTGTGCGAGACGCATTGGCTAATTACTGGACTTTACAGATCCTGATATTTCCACCGTATACCTTTTTATTTCATTTTACCCCACTATTTGTCCGAGTTTACGACGAAAGGACCTTCGTCTGCAATCTTTTATTTTCTTTTTATTACGTACAAACTAGCGCTTGAGCAATATCCCACCTAGACAGAAGTTAAGATGTGGTCGAAGGATGGTACGCGCTAGTTTAGTAAATACCGATTCACACTACTCTTGAAGGCACCCACGTTATAACTTGATGGGAACACTGACGCCGGCAACTTATTCCATTCCGAAGAATTTCAAATCTAAGAGGAAACTCAAAGGTGTGGAACGAGCTTGTTTAATCAGCGCCTATTCCTCTTGTAGTCCAAATTCACACCAGAACAATAACAGAAACGCCTGAATTTATTCCCAATCGTATTGAATAAACATAGGTAATTTAGACCACTCGTAAAATGAATAACAAATTGAAGAATTCACCGTGTCATTGGTCTAAAGATTGTTGTTGTAGGTCTTTTAGCTGGTACTGATACAATTAATTAAATTCATATTTATATAATAAATAATTCAATTCATCGAATCGTTACGAAATATAGATTAATTACTATGTTATATGTAGGTACAGATAATAATATTAATTTAAAAATTAATTTACAAAGGCAGTAAATAAAATTACAAGATTGTAATAAAATCTGACAGCCATGTAAAATACAATCTCAAATCTTTGGATAACATTTTAATTTTAATAATAACAAAGCAATTAAAATCACTCTTAATTAACAACACAGTGACTAATAAAACGACCTCAAATGGGATTGGCCCGTACTTTTAAGAAAAAAATAACATTGTTATGCTAAAAGTTACTATTTTCTGATTTAAATACAGTGAAGTTGCGAGATCTTTTTTCAAGCTTCATTTATTATGAGCAGGCATAAATAATTTTTACAACAAATATATTACATTGTAACCGGCTAACTTTGTGCGAACCTTCTTTATATATGATAAAATTGTAGTGTCTATAATATCAAAAGAAAAATACCAGATTTCGGCACGATGATGTATTTTCATTGCTGATAACGAAAATCACATTTGTCTGACTGTCTGATTTTGACCGGACTTTCACTGAATGGTAGGTGACCTAGATCGACATATTATAGGCCACTTTTTATCCCAGAAATAGGTTCCCGCTGTATACACTGTTTTTTTTCTTTCTTCATATTTACTCGATATCTCTGCAACAATTTTACATATCTTATTGCATCGTAATATTGCGCAGACGAAGACGCGGACAACAGCTAGTAGCAAATAAAATGTTTTTTTAATAGCGTAGTTATAATAAGTGTCACACGAATCAATTGTCACGGATGCGTCACAGCGGAAAGTCTCAACTGTGTAACAATTATATTTTTTAACTTATGTTTATCTCAAGACATCTTATTGTGGAATAAAAAAACAAAAACTTTTATGTTCATTTACAATCGAATACGACTAAAACTTGTCTTCGTGATAATTCTTGTATTATTTCCCGTGTATGGCGGCGTAAAAAATAAGGACTGCATATACAAATACCCTCATTAACGCGATACGATACTAGAAGTTACACATTGTTTGAAATTGAACTAATAGAATTTATAATCAAAGATTTTTTATTTGTGCAAAATTTCCTACCGTCTCGCAATTTGCTTAAAAAGTTTTCGCTTACGTTTATAAGATGTATAAATATACCGATAACCTAGGGAAGACAGGCAGGCGATGACAATGCATTTCCAAGTGTAATCACTGCATAAATGCTGTGCACAAATGTTACCTTGAATCGTATGTGAAGCTAGGCATGATTCTCAAAACGGTCCACTTTGGACCACTTAAGAACCGGTACGGGTTCACGAACGTTTGAAATAAAATTTGGGACACACAAATGGGGGTTTCGAAAACTGAAGGCTCGCTATTAGTTACGATCGTGTGTGAACCACTTAAATTGGAAAAAATAAATACAAAATTTATTATTTTACACTTAATCATCATTTATTTGACCACTGCTAGCTATATGCCTTCCCCAATATCTTCCACATAATGTGGTCCTCCGTTTTCCGCATCCAACGACTTTTCCCTTTAACACTTAATGTTAACAATTTATATTTCTCAGCCTAAAGTAAAAATTAAAATCTACTGAAAGAGAAAATTTTTGGAAGGGGTCCATGAGAAAAAAGTTTGAGCACCTCTGGACTAGTGCAATCATTTGCGTAGTCTACGGAGCCCTTTAAACCGGACTCGAACCGACCAGACTACCTTTTTGCAAATGTACTTATGCACCCGGTTTATGAAACATGTTGACATTATAAAGCAAAAACTCGTTAAAACAAACAAAAAACAACCGGAATATTTTACTTAACTAGAATGTTTTTAAGAAACTAGCTGTTGCTAGCTTCTTTATCCGCGCGGAAATCATAATTGTAATAAATGCAGTTACTCAGTGATAACGTAGCTATTTATTGGTGAAAGAATTTTTGTAATCGGCCCAGTAGTTTACGAGTTATTTCAATATATACAAAAAATACAAATCTTTCCACTTTATAACTATAGTATAGATATGTTCATACGTTTTAAAAGCAAAGAGTATGTCCTCACAGACGAGAATTTTTTTTTTTTTCTTACATTATAATTGCATTACAAGATATTTAATTTAAAATATACTTAAATAGATCTTACCTAAGTCCCATGCTCGTTAATAAAGTCACTTTAATGAATTCTTGAAAATTTTCTAAGAAAAATTACAATGATTAGTGAAACTAATACTAAAGTTAATTAAAAATTATCGTGTATTTTCATTAACTTACGAGTTAGCGTTGCTTAATTACCTATTAATTAACTATTATTGTCTGGGCAAATAAGATAATACCAGGTTTTAATACTAAATTATTTCTAATTCCCGAAATTTAATTAATTTGTTATTTCGATTTCTTTCGAAAGTTGAAAAGGGCGGTTCGAAACAGTTCGTAATTTTGTTTCATAACAAAAATTAATGTTTATATAAATTATTTGTTCTCCCAGTGGAAAAAGGGTTTTATAACCACAGAGGATCTTAATATAAAAGCGGAAGCTTTTATAACCACAACATACATTTAATTATAGATTGTTAGTTTAGGATAAGTTTCCACTGCAGAAACACGCATAGAAAACATATCGTTGTCTTTGTTTTTCAAAGACAATGAGTAGAAAGATAATTGTGTTTCTGTATAAATGTTTCGGCAGTGGAAACTGACTGTTAATTGTAGTCTTGTTTAATCTGCAGCTGCGGTTGCAGCTTATATTTCAAACACAGGTGTAAACTCAGAAACTATTGAAAAAAACTAAGCGAAATACTGACATTAAATGTCATTTTAAAAGCAAAACCATTTATTTTTTTAAAAAGTCCCAAGTTCTATCACCACGAGATTAATACATCTATACTACTATTATAAAGAGGAAAGATTTGTAAGAGGAAATAAAAACTACTACTACTTTTTAAACTTTCCACGCAGACGAAGTCGCGAGCAACAGCTGGTCTGTAATAAAAAGGGGTTTGATTAAAAGAACAGTGTAATAGGGAAAACACTTAAAAATTTCGGTTATAACTTTATTTAATAGCGTTTGTTAACCTTTTTAGGGTAAAAAGCACACCCTAATATGTGGGGTAAGAATTAGAAAAGCGATATCGAAGGCAAAGCCCCTTAACTCATCACACAGTAAAAGGAAGTTTCGTATTCCTTAATATTATTGTATTTTACTTCATCATGCCAAGGCCGAGTTTTAAATTATATGAAAAAATTATAAAAAAAAGTTAATGTGGAATAATGTACCATTGCTAGAAAAAAATAAATTCGTATTATAAAATTAAAAGTCGCAATTAATAATTATTTGAAACCAGTTTAGGCTCTTAAGTTATAAAGTGGAACTAAGTTACGAAGTTTATATTTAATAAATAGGTCTGAAAAGGTTAAATTAAAAGAAATTTCCAAAATAGCTTAAATTGAAATATTTCTTTGCTTATTCATAAGACAGGCTGATTTCGCTTCCTAGTAAATGTTAGTACAAAGGGCAGACGCGGAAGTCCTTGATTTTTTGTATGAAAACCCTGGAAGGTTTTTAGGTTATCTTTATGATTATTCCGTTTTTTTTTTCAACATTTCATTTAATAACAAACGTGATCTAACGACGGAAAATACTGTTTGTTATATTGACAAGATTAATGTGGCAGTTATTTACATTCCATTTATGAAATTGAGTTTGTAATCTATCGTAATAAACAACGATAGAGATAACAATAAACATTCATGTGTGTTTTCACTAACTTTGTAATACAGTTGAGTAGTGTTGATGTAATTTTCCAGTTTGAGCTATGGTACCAGTTGACACCTTAGCACCGAGTACCACTAACCCCTCGTCGTTGTGACCTCGTGATGCTCCAACCGGGAGATCTCTCAACGCGTTCAGCGAAGGGGACTCCTGACTGTTTAGGTTAATCGGGATAATGGGCCGTGGGATGTAGGGTGATACCACACTCCGCAGTAAGTGATGTGAATGAAGCAGCCTCCCCCCCTGTACCCCTCACCGCAACGGTGGTCTCTGCGTGCGCATAAATACGACCGCACACTGAGAAAACGTCAGTCAATTTCGCAGCGCCACGCGTGCTGGTCGTGTCGACTATTGCCCGTTGCCCCTAGCAATACTACTTACGCATCGCGCGCGACTTTCAAGGACTAAACAAGGTACTGTATACTCTTATTTCAAGTTATGCCTCGGTCGATATAGGGACACAAGGGAGTGCGCGAGCGTGTTCTGGCACGCACTACGACGATGGAAATTTATCGTCTTAGAACGTGCAGTGCGATCGCCTTTAGCCCACCATCAGCGTTGCATTGCGAATTACAACACCGGCCAAATCTCCCGGTGGCCGGTGCATCAAAATGTGCTCGCTATGTATTGCACTGCTTAGCGAACTTTCATTTATTTTTGTACATTTCAAATCATTTTAATTATTATCGTACTAGAGACGGTATTATTAAGCACTAGTTCCGTCCATCGAACGAGGCATTCGTAAAACTTCTTTCGTAACCTGTGAGTAACATTTTTAATTTTAAAATGCATGCGGTTAATGTTAAAAAATCGTGTTTTAAATGTTATAAAAAGAATATTAAAAACTTAAAAAGCTTGAATAATTAAATTTCTGGGGATTGAATAATTGAAAAACGGGATTCGCTGAGGTTTGTTCGCGATGAATTAGTAATAAAGTTTTGAAGTGAACGTAAAAACAAAGTTTATGTTACTTGCCCTCGTTAATTTTTATGAACATTTTAGTGTTTTTAGTTTATTTGGTAGAGTATATATCTTCTTAAAATAATCTTACGTAGTAACTTTTAAGTTGTTTTTTTTTTAATTTCTAACTTGAGAAGTTAAAGTGGTTAAATAAAATTATAAATATAAATTAGTGCCGCTTGGAATTTCGAAGAAAATAATACCCAGCAAAGTTGTGGGGTAACATTCTATGGCGCGGAAAAGCGCTGTAATTTACTCGTAGTTATATTCGACCGTACAATTTAAAAAATATTTTAATTTCAGAAAAAATATTCTTTACCTTTTCTACATTTATAAATCTAATTTCGGATATTTAATGCACTGTTATATTACATAAAACGCCTAAAATACGTGTAGGTACTATATAAAAAATTTGCTACACTGGCAATATTCTATCTAGAGAATACCCGTTTCACCAAGAAAATAAAAAATGTTACTCAATTAGGCTTTTTAAACTAATATTGTATCGTTTACAAAGTAATATTTAGTAGGGTAGACAGAAATTATATTTCACCTTTATGTAAATGTTTAGTATACTCAATTATGACGGGCGAGATTTTTGACAGTTATATTTTTGGCATTTACTGATAATCGAACCCTGGTCCCTTAACCATTGAACTAAAAGGGATAATTGTACAACTGTAGAATCAATAAAAAAAATTCTTAAAAAAAATATCCGCATTATGACATTTTGGTATCTTCAGATATAAAAGTAGACTAAGATTGTAAATCCCATTATATTATTTAAATAAACGATAAGATAATGTAATCCGGGTTTCTTACAACAAAGACTTGCCCGCTCCACGTGCCACATTCAACGCTAATAAAATTTATTTTTAGTTATAATAGATACGGATAAATAATAAATCATTACCTTTATGATAGCGTCTAAACTTTTTTTCGAGATAACCCACCGATTATAATTCACTCGGAATCGTATTAATTACGAAATTTCTTAGTACATTTAGTACAATAGATTACAGTATATACGCCTAGTGTAATAAATGTAGTCTAGGCAAAAGATCCCCAAACGTTCTGATTGTAGACCTCTGGCAAAGAATCCTAAGTATCTATACTATTTACTATAATATTATAAAGAGGAAAGATTTTTATCTTTGGATTTTTGTATGTATTCGATTCAAGTACGTAAAGGGCCGATTTCAAAAACTCTTACACAATTAGAAAGGTAATTTATCTATGAGTAACATAAGCTACATTTTTATATAGTTTTTAATTTCACGCGGCCGAAGTCACGAGCAACAGCTAGTCGATGGTACATTTGTCCTTCGACTTGTGAACCCTTCTACATTATTTCCCTCCATCATGCCCTCTGGGGTCCATGGAAAACCCGGCGAGGGTGGAATTGTAGTTTTTCAAATAACCCTTTACTTTGAAGGAGTAATTTCTTAATAATATTATAAATGCGATAGTTTAGATGGATGGTTTGTTAGTGTTCGTCGCCTAAATTGCTGAAAGGATGTTGGTAATATTTGGCGTAGATGTAGGAGATAGTCTGGAAGAACACATAGGTTACTTGCTATTGTTTTTTGTAATTCCGCGCAGACGGAATCGCGGGCGAAAGCTAGTATTTCATATTTCAGATTTTGAATTTAATAATTCTCATTTTTCGTTACAAGGTTGTTTATAATAATAAAAACATTAATTTAGTATTACGTAGTAAATAATACATAAAATATTACATTTGTGTAAAGTAAAATAACATTTATTACATTGAGGATAATATTATTTATGTCATTATGCAATTCTGAGAAAAAAGATTCCGAGTTTTATTTACATGTAATAAAGAATTGAATTTATCATCTCGCTTATATAGCTTGTGCCCGTTTCTGTAATATTCAGGGTACGGCTTAACATTAAAGTCGAATGATCCTTGTAGAAATGATAAATACATGAACAATGAGTTTAACTCTGTCTCCAAAAAAGTCAAAACTAATCAATGATAATAAAGACTATATCTTTATTACTTTCTACTCAGAATTTCGTATACCTCATTGCATCACTTTGTCCCTATATGAAAACAGACATCACAATTGGACTGTCATGTGCAAAAAGAATCTTCCAAAATAGATTAAATCCTAATATTAGCGCATCCAGTCCCTGTTTTTATACTTTTTATTGTGTTTTAGTATGACCTACTTACAGTTAATGACTGCATTTTAGAAAATTCATTTTTTATCTGTTCATTAAGCGATAAGAAATTTTTGGTAGTTAGAATATATGAATTATTCTTTTATCATAGTTATATAAGAAGTACAAACGTAACTGAATGGTAAGCTTTGTTTATTAGATTCTTTGTTTAGCAACAAACAAAAGAAAGGTCGAAGTCTGTTGATACGGACGGCTGTTCATTTACGATGTTAATGCGTCACTATGGAAAGATCGGATGCAATGCCCGCACGCAGTGTTCCACTGCGAAAATAAAAACGGCCGTGAGTCACGGGGTCACACACCTAAAGTACGGCCACCCGACAATTTACCACATATAGTTCGACACTCTTATCTGGCCCGGTAAGAGAAACTACATTATTACACAGATGCCCCAGTCAATGTTAAAAAAATGCCAATTACAGCAACTCATGTCTTTTGTGTATGCTATGACTAAGGTGATAATAACAATGTTCCCACCGGGTCAGAGAAGATTGTAGGACTATATACGTATGTTTACAAACTATATTTATAGAACAGCTGAGCGGAATAAGGGCAACGTGGTTCGTGTTGTACATTTTCCTTTGTTGAAAACTTTTGTATGAAAACGTTCAATAAATGTAACTCTGATTTGTAATTTTTCCTTCATTGTTGTGGCAGCGACGAGCTGATATTAGTTACTGATTTATAATTAAAACATACACAATGTTGTGTCTATTCATTATCAGTGAATAACGTATAGTTGTTTTTTCCTAACTGTACTTTTAATTGATTTTATACACTTTAGTCTTCATTAAGGTCTTTTCAATCTTTACAATTTACTCGATAATGGTTCTTTGATTTTTATAAAATACTAGCTTTCGCCCGCGACTCCGTCGACTCATTAATAACGTATCTTTTTAATGGTGAAACAATTTTTGAAAAAGGCTCTGTAGTTTTTGAGTTATTTTATTACAATCAAACAAACAAAGTTTTCTTTATAATATTAGTATGATTACAGAGATTTGTTTTGTTTTATCATAATGTTGAGTTTTGATATTAAAAAAAAACATACAGACGAATTGATTACCTCCTTCTTTTGGGAAGTCGGTCAAAAAGTAACTCAATAATAACGAAAAAAAAATTTTTATTTATGAATTTTTAGTATAATACTAAATGTAAAGAAACCGATGACGTCATAGATTATTTGAGAGAACAAATGCGTAGTTATATTTATTAACAATAATAAGTTGAATACGACATTAACGGATTCTTGTTTGCGTGCTATCAGAAAACAATTATTATTCAAACGCTAATGATAAGCTATACTTAATACCTACTCGATGTCAATTCTATTACAAACAACATTTGTAATTAATGGAAAAATACTTTACACATTACGTCTGTTATATACTTTGGTTAATCTTACTAATAAACTGCGAAAGTTTAGATGGATGGAAGTTTGTTAGTTTGAACCCTAATTAATGTTATAAAGGGGAAAGATTTGTATTTTTGGATTTTTGTATTTTAGCCAACACAGATGTATTAGTCAGATAGACTATATTTTTATTATTATTTAATTTCACGCAAACGAAATCGCGAGTATCAGCTAGTCATAAATAAAATTGGTATACATGTAGAGGATAGTCTGGAAGAACATATAGGCTACTATTTTTTTGTTTTTTAATACCAAGCGGACGGTGTCGCGGCCGAAAGCTAGTCATCTAATTAGTGATTATTTTATTTGAAATACGATAATAAAACCTTTGACTATAGACTGACCTTGGGTGACCTTTCAAGAAGTATCAACTTCACATATAATCGAGAACAAGCGAGTACTCAGTATCACAGCCATTGTTGTTGTAAACAAACGTTTTGTGATGCAATTTGCATAGTTAATGTTCCTTACTGCTCGGAGTTAATTGACTACTAATCAAATGCTACACACCGTTTAGCTGTTAGCTGAATATATTATCCCATTGTGGAGTTAAAAATTCTTTTTGTGCTTTAAAGAAAAATACAAGGAATAATATTGTTTTTATTGTCTAAATGATGCATTTTTATTACCGAATTGTACGGAAATATGTGACGACGTATTGAAGAAACTGATAAACAAAATTCATGAACTACATTTCAAGACCCTAGTAGTTGTTAGGGTTGCCGTACACGGACAACTTCAAACACAGCCTTCAAGAAAACGCGTATCCGAAATGTACGGCAATTTAAAGAACCCTTTAGAAACGTGTATTATTTTATATTAAACCCGTGG